ACGATTCCACGCGCACGTGGCTGCTTTTCACAAAGAAAAACAATAAAAGTAATGCCCGACCGTTCGCGTCGCGAGTGAGCGACTCTTACGAAGCTCGCTGATGTTTATTACACTTCTCACGCGGTTAACGTGCGTCTATACGCGAGATAGCGTGCGAGAGAACGTTGTAATATTTCGTCGCGTCGAGGAAAATACGACGCGCGACGGACTCGCGCGACAGCCGGAATTAATTCGACATCTCGTCATGCGAGCCTCGACTGAGATCACGTCGATTAGAGCGCACGTTTAACCCTTTAAGGCCCGCACGTCGATCCCATTGGAGTAAAATGTTGTAACTTACAAGATCGTCTTAAAGAGGACGTTCCTGACGAATGTTTTTTTCCGTCCGAATAAAATCGGCCGTCGAGAAGTGTGATTTTCTGAATGCACATTGGGCTTTTAAGGTATAAAAGCGAGAAAGTATTAAAATTGTTTCATGTAAAAAATATTTGTCTTCCGCTCATTTATAACATAGCCGTTGAAGAACGTCGGACAAAATGTTCATAAGTAGAATATACTGACGTGGTTTTCTCATGAGAAACTTTATATAAATCCGGCAACTTTGCTCTACATGCGACCGCATGTATTGGTCTTCAGCTGGAAATACACTATCTCATGGTTTGGAACGAAAAATACAGCTTCATATTTCGGATAAATTGAATATTATACCGGCGGAACCATTACTTTAACAACAGATAAAATTTGGGGAAATTAATATACATAATTACACTGAGCCCGTAACTCTTACAGACCGGGCGATATTTTGGGCGACTTTTACGGTTTTTAAACCAGAACTCTTTTATACGTATGAAAGAATAGACTAGTGAAAAACGACATCCTCGCCGCGCCGCACTATAGTGGCTTCCCGACTCGTACGGACACGATATTTTCAAATTGATCTTTTTTTATCTTATTTGATCATACAGCAACTTTTTTTATGTGAAGAATAATGAAAAAACAAATTTTATTTGTTTCTAGTAAAATATTATGCAAAAATATGCAATATGTCTGATATGGTAAAATAAAAAATGCTCGTGTGCATGCAAATATATTGACTCAGTCAGATGACATGATGATAATAAGAAAACCAAAATATAAAACAAAATCTCTACTATTTGCATAAATATATCACATATTCATACAAATTCCAAAATATATTTTATCTGTATATACATTTGTATGAAATAAATGTATTTGTGTATTTATTTCTTTCAAGTCGCAACACTCGCATCATTTTCGCTATTTCATATGGGAAAAGTCGATAATAACAATAATAATAATAATAATAATAATAATAATAATAAGAATCGTAGTTGTATTTCACAAAATTGCTACTACGCCAATACAGTAGCTTCCCGGTCTACAGGGATTAAAGGGTTAAATCTGCCACGTGTCGTGTAACTTTTCAGCGAGCCCGAAGCTCGAGCGGGATGAATTATGGAATATATCGTTACGCATTTTTTTTTTATTCGCAGCCTATCACCGAGCGATATATTGTGCGGACACAAGTTGCGCGTTCGACGCTAAGTGCACACGTTCAATCGCATAAAATTCATGCGGGTTATCTCCTCCCTCTCTCTCTCTCCCCCTTCCCTCCCTCTCTCACCCCCGTGACGCGGCGGCAAAATAAACGACGAATTAAAATGCCCCGCTATATAGCCTCCTTTTTTTTTTCGCAATCTCTATCGGTGAGCCATATTGCACGTGGGATATCAATCGCGCGCGGACAAACGCGTATTTTTAGTATCGCATTTAATCGCGCAAAAACCGCGCGTTCGTTCGCTCACGCGCGACCGAAACAGTCAACGGATTAAAATGTTTCGTAACTTTCNCCCCCCCCCCCCCCTCGGTCACACGCGTGTTCAATACTTAATAACGTTCGGGGGTCGCGCACGGCGCGTACGCGCGGAAAGTCGCTCGCGGAAAGAGTCGGGGAATTCGGAATTTTTCCCGTCGCACGTCGGGCGTCACGACGTGCGGTAACGGCCGGCATAAACAGCCACGGGAAGGCGCGCGCAGCGAGGTCAGAAAAGGATGACGACTCTATCCTGAGAGGTTAGAGGTCCCCGCTCTCATTTATGATCTTATGCAACGTGCGCGCAATGTTATATTTCGCCGCGCCGCGCGCCGGTGCATATTAAACGGCCGAGCCTTATCCGATGCGGCCGCAGCCGTCTCCGCAGAGAGCGTGATCGGTGTTTTCCTCGCGAGCTCGCAGCTCGCTTCGACGACGAGAGAGAAGGAAGTTTCGCGAAAACGCGCCCCCTCGCTCGTATTTACCGAGTCGCACTCGGTAAAGTCGCGCGCGCTTGCTCGCTGACGTTCCGGGCGGGGTGAGCCGTGTTAACGATCGAGNGGGGTGGGGGGGGGGGGGGGAGACAAACGCGCAGAATCGTTGAATTTGCAAATGGGCGACTTTGAATTTTTCAAAGCTCAGCTTTTATGGCCCCCCGATTAATTCGCATTGTTCATTCATTCGGATCACACACGGTGTTCGGGGGACACTGTTTTCAGCCCGTCGGATCGTTGTAAACGAGCGGGGAAGAAAAAGAGAGGGGTAAGCCCGACGCGATATCGCGATTTTTCTAATTAATTCGCGGTACCCCCTCTTTTGGCGGTGCGACTGAACGACGCCGGGCGCGAACGGGGCGTTACATAATGAAAATTCGGTTTATTCCCGAACGCAAAACTATTTTGCTGCGGTCGACTTTCCTGTAATGAAAATTAGATATCCCGGGCTTAATTACTAAACCGTCAAAACGAACGAAAGCCGATCAAGTGAGCACACCTTCGTGATTACATGGCATTTCGTGCATCGCGTATGAAAGAGGCGGGTGTTTGTTATACGCCGAGATGGTTTTACGCAACCGCACCAAATTGCTACCTTATACACCGCCATGGTCGGCTTACATTTATCCGGATTGCAAACGCCGCGCCCTGACAGCCGATGCATTAAATATCTCGATGATATGAGTTTCTCGTCTCTCGGAGACCTTTTTCGTATTAATAATAATAATAACTTGCGTAAGGGAGAATGTCCTAATTAACTGCAAAGTAACCTCGTGTCGTGTGGGTAAATTAATAAATTATTAGAATAATGTGTTATGTGAATATGTAACATTTATTTTCGAAAGTTCAAGAATTTCGGGTTCTATAATTATATTAGATTTTTCTTTTAATTTATGATAAAATTTTAATTGATTTGTAATCGAGCGAGCAGAGATCCCAAACATGTGAAAGATGATTGTGAAATCTCTACTTGCACCATTCTGCAGAAATGCTCCTGTTAGAAATTTATTAATTAGCCCCGGTCTCCCCTACGCCTATGTTACTGACAGGTGATGAATATACGAATAGCCCTATTACTGACAAGCAAAAATCATTATTCGAAATACCACAAATTGATACAGAACGTCCCTATCATCAATCTAAACATAACAGTTTATAGGCTGAGAACTCGCACTATTTGCTAAATTTTGCGATTCTAAAGAAGTGTAAAAGCGATCCTCAAAATGTTATATTATATAAACATAGACACGTTCACGTTAGTCTTTTTGTTTGTCTTGTTCATACAGATCTTACGTAATTGTAAGTGCGATATAAATGTGGACATGATGAATGTACGCTACTCTGCAACTGTGCTTTTACCATATCTGACGGAAAATTTGGCTAAGATGTATAACAATCAAGCTAAATTAAGCTAATACGTATAACAATTTTTCTGCAAGTTTTTCGTATCTTTTTAGGTCTCTAAATTACATTGTAAAAAGTGTAAAAATATTCTTTGAAATTTCTCTGATTGGAGTATCGACATATTCGGTATATACGAGCTGCAGGATTTCAGCATCAGGCAAATATTTACACTAACTGACAGCTACGGATGTCACTTTGAAATTTTTTTTATCATTTTCGCTACATACAATACTCCGATTCATTTTCGCGCGTACTTTCGCCGTGTAAAAGCGTTTACAATTCACGATGCAAACCTTGCCGAAAAATATCAATATTCTGTCGAAGTTTTCAAGTATGGCATCTCCTTAACAACCAACCTCTAAGATGTCAGCGAGTAATTGTTTGAACTGTCACTGTTAGCAGTGCGCTTATAATTATGATACACCTGCATTCATTATGGCTTTTAATTTGATTCGAAACTTGTTATAACGGATAATATAAAAAGTTTATAATAAAAGCATACTTTTTAGGATAAATGTAAAGCTATATTATTTGACTTATTAAGAAGTACAGATGCGATCGTCACAAACCGTCATCCTGTCACTTGAGGCATTCACCTCAGCAATTTGATCGCAAATCATAGATTGTACGTCATATTTCACGTCGTAAATGTTTCGATGCATAAGCTGATAATTAAATATTCTACGACGAAATCTACTTCGTTTCATACTTCTGCTCGGGGAGAGCGAACACATTACGGTGATTTAACGTTCGAAGTATCAGACGAGGAGTCGTAACACGTACGTCGACATGATCGACGAAACGCATCGAGTGTTTCCNCCCCCCCCCCCCCCCCCGACAGGAAGATTGCCTCGAAAATATGGCGCGTCGCAAGAATCCGCGCGCAAGAAGAGAGCTCCCGGTCTTTGCGCTCTCGCATTCCGCGTCGATGCAAATACCCGTAAGAAATATCAACTACGTGACTCGAACTTTCGACAAAATAAATTTTAGCTTAAGGAACTAAGCGAGTTAGTAGCGTCGTGCCTCAGGACGCGTCGCGCGCCCGTACATACAGTTTGCTGTAACTACTTCGTAAATAATTTCCTCCCTAAGTAGCGAAAGAGAGCGCCGCACGTCCGTGTACGATATTCGTTTAGCCGGATTTACGGCGGCGGCGGGACGCGCTGGAAGAATAATCGATCGATCGGTCGGCTCGGTTTTTACGATTTGCAAATTGCGTGGTGTATGCGTCCGTTCCGGTTGCTGAATGATAGAAATTCTGCTTTCAGATGTGCCGGATCCGCCGGAACGACCGCTCGTCATAAGTTACACGTCCAAAGCCGTGAATATATCGTGGGCACCTGGTGTTAATTCCCACAACACTCCAATTTCGCAGTACGTCATCTACACCCGGTAAGTTCGTTAAATATTGACTCGCAAAAAAGCCCCTTACTCCGTCAGAGCGGGTTCTCTGATCCGCGGGCGCGCTTCGAACTCGCTCGGACGAACTGCGGTATCGCGCGAGTGACAGAGAGAGAGAGAGAGAGAGAGAGAAAGAGAGAAGGAAAACGGCTTCTTTCGGGAAACTAAAAACTCACGCAAGGGCGGAGAAAGCGAGGCGCCGCGCCAAATTGATCACCTGTTCCTCTCGGCCGACAGTCGTCGCGTGCACACGCACGAGAGAACGTCGCGAGCCTGAGGGTCTCGAGTGAAAAATTAATTCGATCGATTTAACCGGGAAGATGGGGGAAGGAGGGGGAGGAAGAGCAGAGAAGAGTTCGTTTCTCGTGCAATGTCGTTTAGGAGTTACCGGCCGGCGACGTCAAACTTCACCGTTGATTTCCGCGACACGCCACTGTCGCTTTCCCGCGAAGTTCAGCAAATTGCTACGCCGAAGTGAATTAATGTCGCTCTTATCCCGGCGGAGAAACATTTCTAATAGGGAAAAAAATCGGAGCGCCCTCGGGCTACGCCCCGGAAATAGCGGTCCACGCTCGAGTAGATCTCGATCTGATTATCTTACGGATAACCGGGCCACCGTCGTCGTTCGAAGACTGTCTCTCTCTCTCTCTCTCTCTCTCCCTCTCTTGCGCGCGCGTGCGGAGCCGGGAGAAGAAACGGATAAAATAAAAGGAATTACCGGGAGGATAAGAACCGCGGTGTCGATAAGCACCCTTTGTTCTCCCGTCGCGACCCCCTTTCTCATTCTCTCTCTCTCTCTCTCTCTCTCTCTTTTGGCACCGTTATCTCCGTCCCTTCCTCCCGGTACTTCGACCTCGCGACCGACTCCCACTTTTCCCACCGCTTCCGACTTCTCTCCCTTCCGTTTTCCCACGAATCTCCCTCGCTGGGGTGCTCCGATGTCGCCCCGTAAGCCGAGTGACCAGTCGCGGTGCCCGTTGCTGTCAGAATAAAACGTACGAAAGCGTAAAGAGCGCACATAAGAATGAAAAAAAAAATGAGATAAGCGAAATGAATGTGTCTCTGTCGAACGGCGAACACCAGAAAGCAGATACATTTTTCCAGTTTTTTCCACACGCGACATAGATTCCAATTGGAATATCGAAAGTTGTCCCAAAAAAAAGTTATTCTATTGTGAGATGGACCAATGGAGAGTCCTATTCTTACCCGACACATGAGATGAAGATTCTTTTCCACGATGCCACATTTGCCTGCTATCGCCAGAGTCGAATAACAGAAAATTAATAAACGAGGTTACACTTTTAATGTTACTATGTTTAAAGCGTGCGCGTATATATATGTGTGTGTGTATGTGTGTATGTGTGTGCGTGCGTGAACTTGTAAAGTATAAATACTAAAAGTGTTTCGTATATTTTGTTCAATCGTAGCATATAATAGAAGTCAGAAATAATTTCTGGGGAAACGTTGAAGATGGTCAAATAAAATCTGCTTATGTTCCCCATTTAGAATCGTATGTTATTATATCATTATTATATTATATTATATTAAATAAACAGGAAAATTTCCCACTATAGTACAAATTACATAAATTTATATATCTTTCTAGATATCTCATGGCAGAAAAGGCCAAATAAAACGAGATTAAAATAAAAATCACATAAACAATTGATTCAGCTTAATTTCAAACGAATTTTGAGAAACAAAAATTTAATATTTGAATATTCCTATAAATATACTATTTGAATATTCATTGGCCAGCATGTAGATTCTGTGTATAGCTTAAAACTGTCATTATACGATTACGAGAAACATAAAATATCTGACATCTTCTGACAGACTTTCCGGGAATTTTAATTACAATAAGATTTAATATAATAGAAGAACGTATATTTGGATCATTACACTTCTAACTAGAACCTACGTGGATTGTCTGTATGGAATCCATAATTATTTTTAGGGAATCGGACTGAATTCCGATTTAAAGTCCGAAGAAATTTTCTACACGGGACCGTGTGAAATATCGTGACGATCGATAACTTGCAACGACCGAGATTGACAGTGCTTCTAATTCTGATCCGTTGCATTCAATTCTTCACCGTTCTGGAAACGTCCTCCACACAGAAAAAAATAGACCGGTTGAACGTGACAACAAATGAACCAAATACGTTTTATTTAAAGGAAACAGAATTTCTGATTCTAATATCTGAGTTGGTTTATAAAAATTTTGCTTGCTTCAGTCGAAACTCATTTAGTTCGTTCCTTGACATATTAACTCAAATAATCACTTTTCTCCGTGTACACTCCTTGAAATAAAAAGATAACTTTTATCTACGTCAGAAGATATTTTTATAACTTTCTCTTTCGCACAGAAATTTTCCGACATTTTCCAATATATAGATTCTAATTAGAATGTATAAAGTTGACTCAAAATAAGTTACCTCATTACGATACCTGTATTTTGACAATGAAAGGTCCATTCCCGGTCCACCGGGATGATACAAGACGCATTTTAAAGCTAAAAGTTAACACTTTTCCGTGATATTAACGAAATGTAAGAGAAAAATTTGCTTTCAGTGGTACGTCATGAAAACCCTCAAAATTGACGTTTTTGGCCTGTTTGACATCATTTTTCTCAAAATCATAATCCAATAGTCAAACTTGAATTCGTATTCAACAGACGAAAACCATTCAGAGACACCTATTCTCATTTTGGATACAACCCAAGTCCAAAATCGCAAATTCTCCATTAACTGTTCAAGTGAAGAAAACAGAAATAAGTCCCCACTTTTAACATCAAAGGAGCACAATAAGTATTCTTTTAATGCTCTAAAGGGAATTTAGCCTTCCAGAGTCTATTTTAGTTCTACATTAAGTCTTCAAGTGGAGTAAACGGCAATAACTTCCCCACTTGTAGCATCAATGGAGCACAATGGAACACCTTGGAACACTTAATGCAGAGCTAAATTAGAGACTTAAAGTAAAATTGTAATTCCGGTTCGGGAAAAGTTGAAATTTGTTGACCGGTGTTATTTTGGGAAATCGGACGCCTCAGTTAGATCCCGAGAAACTTTTCACACGGGTTTCCAAACTCGATCGGTCTTCAGTCAACAAAATACACCGTAGTATAACGATACAGCTCGGGACTCGGCGGAACTACTTCCTAACGGACGTTATCGTTATCGTCGCATCAATGAACGAGTGCAGTGACTAGTTGGAGATGCAACTTCGCGCGCTTCGACCCGTTCGCGTTCGAAAGGGTTAATTTGCACGATGCGCCGCGGTCACCGCCGTCGAGCACTTCGGAGGATTTCAATTCTCGTCGTCTACGCGAGGCTTAATTTAAGTGATGGACCGTAAGTCGCGCGAGATTTCGTCTCCGTGATCACGCGTCCGCCCGACCGACCGACCGGCTCATTCGCCCCTGTTCGTCTGTCCGACGGATTTCATTAAAAAATCCTTCGCGGAAAGCGCGGCTCGCGCAGCCGCGGCTGCAATTTCATTATTAAATCTTCGCATCGCCGGTCGTTCATCTCACTACGCAACGACGAACATCGCCGCCCTGGTAGGAGGAATACGCTCGCGCGAGACTACGAGCGGATGGAATTCTTAATCAAGTTTCCATTTTCTTTTTTTTCTTCTTCCCTCCCATCGTCTTCACCGCCTAGCTGTACTCTTGGCCGCTCCACCGCCACCGCCACACCATCACCGTCGCGGCCGCCGTCACCCCCCTCCCTCCCGCGTTTTCTCCCCTTTCTTCCGGCCGCAGAGCAGACAAAACCCCGAGAGTAGAAGTTGTAGGAAATAATATATCAGTCGGTGTCGTTATGGTCGCCGAATATTGAAGTTTCGCCCCCGCGAACCATTTCGCCTTGCCGCTCGGCTGGCAGGCCCTTTCAGAAAACTATCGTAATACCTCATAGAACTTGGAAAATATTAGTTTTATAATAAAGTTCGGCCGAGAACTTCCCTCAGTCGCGTGCGCAAGAAAGAGAGAAAGACAGTGAATTCCCGCGAACGCGCGAGCGTTGCAGTCGCGCCGTTCGAAGATTATTAATCTCCCCGGAAATCAACCGCCGTTTTGACGAGGACCTCCTTACAATGGCATCTCGCTCCGGATTTTCCGGCTGGAAATGACGCTGACACGCGCCGCTCCCGTCCGCAACTCCGAGCGACCGTGCGACGCCGGTTTAACGAACCCACCGGTGCGAACCGCGTAACGTACGCCGAGAGAAAGAGAGAGAGAGAAAGAGAAAGAAAGAGACAGAGAGAGAGAGAGAGAGAGAAATATGGATTATTATGTTACGTAAGTCGGGCCGGATAGGTACGCGTTTCAACGTATGCATGCGTGTAATATTTATTATGTTTGTTCCCGTGCCTTATTATGAAATATTCGCGTCTAATGGAGACGGCGCAATGGCGCGTCCTTACCTTCGCCGATTTTCTCTCTCTCTCTCCCCCTCTCCCTCACTCACTCCCTCTCTCTCTCTCTCTCTGCCTCTCATTCTTTCTCCTGTGGAATTCGGTGACCGTTCAGCGCGCGCGTATCCGAATTAAAAACATTCACGAAGCCTAAGCGTGTACGTTATACATGGCCAAACACGTTTTCAATTTGCCGGTGCAACGTGCATGCCGTGCAAACGGCGTATTCGGACGACTCCTCGGATACACAGCCGCGTCCCCGATGCCTACCCTCCCCCCTCCCGTGGTGGGTCCCCGCGTCGCCGATCATTTATCTCCGTAATATCAGAAAAATGGCTAGGAATAAATGCCGCGATCGCGTTTATTAGACGGGACAGACTATCGATCTTGGGACGTCTCTCGCGGGCTGCCGATCAATTTCCCCAGGATTCTTCCGCTTAATCTTCCGCGTTTTGTTAAACACATTAAAATGGAATTCCAATTTCGCGCAAGCCCCCCCGACGAACACCGGCGCGTCGTGGACGCTCGCGCCCGCACGACGCACGCGATCCGCGAGTTTTAATTACTTCTGT